TCAATTATTAAAGGCTAAAGGAACTTTTCTTGAAGTAAGTAACACATTTTGGATTTTGAAGCATTGTTCGCAATTTAATTAAATCTAAATATTTTTTTATCTCATAGGGAAATAAATGAATATAGTTAAATGGATAGTTGACTTCAATTTTTTTACTATTGACCACATATCTCTTACTAATTTTTTTCTTAGACTGACGTCAACATTACTAGTTAGATGTGACATTGCCAGTATTTTTGTTGAGAAGTCCTTGTTTAAGTTAACCCGTTAAGTCTAGATAATATGATAAGAATATATTCTTATAAATTGCTTGAAGTCTTGACCTAAAATAATCGAAAGTCAGTAATAGAATAAGGATATTGTTGAGTTTCACTAAAATAAAGGGCCAATTAAAGTTGGACAACCACTGGAAATCCCTTTCGTCCCTGTATAGAACCCCTCCGCAGTGTATATACGCGACTCCACAACCGGAAATTGAACCCAGAATCTTCGGTCTCACGCGCGAGTGTCTAGACTTTGAACCACTAAACCGAAATACCAAGCTGTACAAACCTAAGTTAAGTTAGTCCATGATAGAGCGCGACTATCTTCAACTGTCTTTGGTGGGTACCTTCCTCACAATTGATACAGTTGAACTCGACTGGTTATAGCTTTTCATTAGAAATCCGGAAATTTCCTCTCGAAGCTAGCCACTAGTAATTACATGGAAACTGTCAGTATGGGATTGTGAAGACTATCGAGTTTCACTGGAATGATGAACTCATCAAAGCTGCGAACTACTAAGGACAAATAGCAATCCAGTGCTTTAAGATCTTCAGTGGTTGCTTAACTATTATCGATTCCTGATTTTAACGTCAATCAAAAATGATTTGTCTTCGGTTAATTCTTCTGTCAATGAACGTCCATATATTTACCATGATAGCAGTACATGCAATATATTTATATATTAACCGTTCATCAAATTCAATCTTCTAACCAGCTCGTCACTGTGAAGTATAAAAACAGAAGCCTCAATATTGTGTTAAGTTTTCGATTTACATTGTTGGTAAATTTCAAAGCACCTACTCGACAATGACTTTCGATAGTTCCTCAAATGATATCAGTTTATGATGAGTATATAAATTAAAATAGCCTCCACATACAACTGAATCGGCACTCATTTTTTTAACACAGTTCAATGTCTTTGTACTATGGCTATGAATTTTCATGGAAATTGTGTTGATTCAACATATTTAATGTTTATCAGTATAAACATCTCATCAAAATGATTTTTGTTACAGTAAGTTATAGACCATGAAGCATCTTTCTACAAATCATCTTTGACAGGTTTCGACAACATTTTAGCAAACTCTACTGCTCAAGCATTCTAACAGGGAAGCATTCAAGTTAAACTACAGATATACCATGGCTTTGTAAATATTTTAGTCGATCGACTGTACGGACTGTGAGGTTAGCACAATAGTAATAATTTTTTGATACTAAAAATCAAAACCCTTAGTCTTTTAATCTAAATGTATTTCTATAACTTTTTACCCACACAATTAATTTCCTATTATTTATAGAGATTACGTTTTCTTACAACACCTGAAGACCGACCAGCATACGGGGATCAACAAATTACACTAAATGCTATTGGTGAATATGTACCAAAGAAAACGTCCAAAACAAATAAGTTATACGGAAATCCTCAATGATATCACGTGCAATATCGATGCAACTATAATATTCACCTCAATCTTCTAACTGCTAATTTACTATAATATAAATATACATTTTTTACTTTCAAGATTTATTGTGTCAAACATGTTCAGAAAGAACATATATATATACATATGTATTTGTCTTAAATATACCAACTCTCTCCTTTTTTTTGCTTGGACCAATACCAAGTATACACTTATAGTAAAAACGTCTACAATTACTCATATAATTACAAAATATTATCCTTATTCTAGATATTCATACCCTATACTTTGAATTTCAGATAATATGAAACTGTTCATAACTCAGAATTTGACAGGTCAACGAAAACTAAATCTTTATTTTATCATTAGCTACCTTAAAGATCTGTTGTGTTTTTTTTTATTATCTCAACGATAGCAGCATATTTGACTATCATGTTTCAGTTCATTTATCATTTCATATTTTTAAAATTGTAACCCTTATACCTTCCATATTCTTCTCAAGAAATATCATGGACAAAAGACTACCGAATACTAGGATTATTCTTGATGACAATGAAGATTAACATCTATGAATGAGAAGATGGTTAAAAATTCATATTAACAGTTTGACGTCATACAAGTTACTCTTATTTAAGTGTCTATATATTCTTTGAAAAATAAGTTTTAACTATGAATTTCACAATCTTTAAGTTATACTCCACTATACATTGCAATTTACATGGTACATATTTATAAAAGTATATTGTTAACTAATTATTCTGAATAAATTTATACCAAATAATAACTCGATAATTTTCAAGACCTTTATGTTTTATAAAATTTCATACTACTTATTTTTGTTCAAGTAGCTAAATGATAATAGGGTCAATGTTTGTTGCCCTATTTACGTGTTTATTGGATTTACTTAAGTTGTAGAATTATGGTCTACTATGATATTAGTACTGCGCTAATAATAGCCCTAGTTCTAAAATTTTAGACTTGTCATAATATAACTGCCTAATCTATAAGATCTTACGTAGAAGTCATACCATCGGCTACACCAACTCCTCGTATCGTAACAATCACCAATACATGATATATAACAAGCTTAGGCTGGAGATATTACAATATATTTAATATGAATAAAAGATATAAGGTGACATTCAGTAGGGACCACGCCTGCAAGGCCGAGCCATGGCATTCAATCAACTCCAATTCACTCAATGCATTCTTCCCACCTTCTCCATCGTTAGGTATTTCTCCGCGTCAAATATTGAATATCTATTTTCCGAGTTGTCTCGTGTTCATCTTTGAGGACTGTGTGGTTATGGTCCAATGCCATTACAAAGTTAGACCACGGTGCGCTAACAAAATATACGTGATTTTTATCGATTTAAACTTTGATACAGTTATTATCAGTTAGGAATTCCCATCATATTTCAAGTAAAACCGTCATGAAAACATGTTGATTTCCCTGGTCAACTAGAATATGTAATCCTAGAGTCCAATCGATAACTCAGTTTCAATTATATTATAATTAATTTGTAAATATTTTGATTAATTATTTTATTTACTCCATAGTACTAATTGATTTATAGCGAGAAATTTGATCATTTTATCGCTTAACTGTTGATATCTTGTAGTAGATTATTTTATTCAATCCCCTAATTATTTCGAAGCATTCTGCTCAGAATAAAAGTTGTTAAAATTTCCAGATAAGCTTAACGCCAAACTCCCTAATTTTTACGTCATCACTAGTTCCCCTTATTTCGGTTGTTACAAAGAACTGTTAGATCCAGCCACTATCAAATACAACGGCCTCTTCAACCTTGATAGAGTATTTTTAATGCCACGTATCGAATTCCTCACATAAGCGTTAGGAAACAACACGTGTTCAGTACTTCTAATACTACTTCACTCACAATCTACAAAATGTTCAACAATCTCTAATGGTTAACAATTTTTGGTTCATTAACAGTGAGATTTTTCAGAAGCAAACATAATCAGATTGATCAATTCATTCCTAAGAGAATGTTTGGTTATTTTTCAATGGAAAAATAATCGGTATTCGAAGTTTTGGTCAGTAGTTGAACTGCAATGAGTATTTTCATAACTACATCTGATTAACAAGCATCAAATATCTAATTACTAAAAATTAACAACTCTAGAGAGAATATATACTTGACTAGTTAACTTAATTAAGTAATATATTATACTGTATAGCAAACTCTTTAAGAATGTAGGATTTTCATAAACAGCCTAGTTTTTGTTTCACAATATGCTTAAACGCTTAGAGGAAATTGTATACCATCATAGGACTATTTTTATTTAAACATTTAAAAGAATCCTAGATTTCACTAAGCTAGATTCCTTTACTATATTGATTTGCTCTGTAAAACGTTATCAATATATTCATGTATTATCTTAAGAACAAATATATCTATCATAGATTTGATTACAAACATAGATTTTTATAACCATTTACTATGAGTTATGATTGATGCAGTCAAAAGTTGACTCAAATTGTTAAACACAAACTTTACAGGTAATTCACCATAAACGTTTTTGAAAGCAAAAATATAGTTTTAATTGGCTCATTAATTCAACTAATAAATTGCTAAAATCTCCACAAAACCTCGTTCTAATAATAATCATCATGTGCTCACTAGTGACTGACTTCAAGAGGTATTTCTTGGAGTACTAGTGAGAAACCGTGACCAGTGAAGTTCAATTAGGTCTGTTGTGACATAGTAACTCACTGAAGACAATTGTGGATGGTGACGCAATATTGTGGATCGGATGAAGTTAAACGATAACATCATTCGATGTCAACTCAATGGTCTAGAGGTTAAGCGTTCGTTCATGAGAGACTGATAGGTTCTGTGTTCGACTCTGGCAAATATCGTGGATGCTCACTGCTAAAGTGTTCCATACTAAGACAAAACGACTGTCCAGTGCTTACAGGTTTTCCATAGTGGTCTCCTTTTAATTGACTCATGAATTCAACTATTAAAATGACCAAAAACCTCTACAAAATTCCTTTCTGCAAATGAATAAGATTTTAATTTTTGTTGTTGTTGTCGTGAGACATTTTCTTCTGTTCCCTTATTTCTTCATTTCCCTAACATTCAAAAACTGTACGCTATACATATAAATTAGTAAGCATATTGTAAAAATAAAATAAGTAATTAAATGTTGATTGTAGAAAAAAGAAAAAGAAAAAGTGTTTCTTATATAACAGAAATAATAACGAGAAATAAAAGAAAATAAAAAGAGAAAAGAAACTAGAGGAGATATAGATAGATATATATTCGAAATAAGGAAAAATGTAAATAACTAATAATTTCTTCGTTTACATTTAATTCCATAACTGATAACACGTCCATCATCATTGATTTGTGGAATACGTTTATCTCGTATAAAATAAATTGGACAATGATATTGTTTTGGACAAATGCATGGTACTCGACCACCATAAATATAACCATCTGTACTTGGTGTTTCAATATAACAAAAATCATCCACTTTACATTGAGGCTAGAAAAAAAGTACAATAAAAGCAGTTGATAAATATCTAAGAAGAAATAAAATTTAATATTATGTTTCTATTAAAAGAATACGCAAATGACATAATCCTGTTTGGTGAAGACCCAGAGTCTTTTGGTAGTACTGAGCAACAATGCCAGAATGTTTGGAATGCTCTTCTCTCCCTCGAAATGCAAGTTGTTGCTTCAGAACTGGTCTGCGTCAACACCTGAACTAAGGATAGGGAGTGAAGTAGTCGAACGCGTCGACAACCTCACTTATCTTGGAAGTCTGATCAGCCCTAATGGGTTGGTGTCTGACGAAATCTCAGCACGGATTCGAAAAGCTCGTTTGGCTTTTACCAACTTACGTCACCTATGGCGAAGGTGAGATATCCGTCTATCAATTAAAGGACGAGTATACTGCGCGGCAGTCCGTCCTGTTTTACTTTACGGCAGCGAAACATGGCCATTAAGAGTAGAAGACACTCGTAAGCTGCTAGTATTTGACCACAGATGCCTTAGAAATATTGCTGGCATCTGCTGGGATCACCGGGTAAGTAGTAGTGAGGTTAGACGCAGGGTATTAGGGAACGATGGTAAATCAGTTGATGAGGTTGTTAATCTTCATCGACTGAGATGGTTGGGCCACGTGTTACGTATGCCTGAACACCGATTACCATGACGTGCAATGCTAACCGGTGTTCGGGATGGTTGGAAGAAAGTTAGGGGCGGCCAAACCAAAACGTGGCATCAGTGCTTGAAGTCACTAACTTCTAGTCTGAGCCATGTTGGTAGATGCAGACTATTTGGATGGGGTCCGCGTGACTATCGTAACCAATGGTTGGAGACTCTGGGTTACATGACTCAGAATTGGTCACAATGGCTTCGGTATATACACTCTCTGTTTTCCCTTAAACTAAGAGATTAAAATCGCTTCATATCTTTCTTTCTTCGTAGTAAATCTTTCTTTCTGTGCTATATCCTTATATGCAATCTTTTCTTTATATATTACCACTTCTGAATTAACTACTTTTCTGAATCCAACGTTCGTCTTGTTGTGTTAATGAGGTATGGCAACTTGGACCGATACACATATGTGCCTGGTCCTACGTTGTAGCTTACTGACTGACTGATGAAATGAACTAAAAGTATAAACTTGACACTTGGTAAAGGTCAATAAAAGTCATAAACTGATGAAATGTAGATTACGAGAGTTCAAACTTCATGAAGAATATCAATTCTCATAAAACTTTAGATGAACCATCTAGCAAAGTATTTACTAGTAAAATAAAACTATTGTTCATAACGTTCTTCTAATTGTACTGAACCAAATTGTAGTGAAAAGTGGCACAGGAACTGTTGAGTTACCTTTTCTACCAAAAGAATAAAGGACTGAATATACAGAATTATACAATTAGACAACATTAGAAACATTTGAATATAGTTTCGCAACCCAAAAAGATTCCGTAAAATTTAGATTATATGGTGTTTTGAATCCTGTTAGATGATTAGAACTATTCTGTAATCGATTATATTATCCAATACCTCGAATAAAAACTTACAAATTATACCTATTGATTATCTATAAATCCCAGCATTATAGTGTTATAGTGCTAAAAACAGTAACAAAGATTTCTCAATGTGTTTGATCATTTTGTCGGAGCAAGAAACTTTAGACAATCATTAACAGTTTATATGTTGGACATTTCTATATTACAGTACATCAGATTCCTTGAGAATTTTGGTAAAAAGAAACTATTCACAGTGTTTCGATTCCAAGAACATCCTAATCCCTTGTTCTTGCAAGTTGTCTATAGAATATGGTTCATCGATAAGAAAGAGTAATATCTAAAACTAAACATGAATTATCCTATCTCTTTGGAATACACTTCTAAGGGCTTTACAAAACGCAGGAATAAACTTCAAACAAAAATGATATAAGTGATTTACCATAGAAACGTTTTATACTAAGATTTTAACAATGAGGAACTCTACATAATCAGAACACATACACCAATAATTGATTGATCCTAAATACAATACAATACGTATAAATCAGTGAGTATCTATTACCAAGCTTTAGTTTTTATCTTGAACAGCTAACACAAAGCTAAGTTCTTCTTTACTTCCATAATATTTTAGCTTAATATACATAATAGCTCATCCTCTACAATAGGTTGACACTTATTTATGATCAGAAGGGGTTTCTGGAGATTTTAGAAATTTCACAGGTTTAAATCATGAGTCAATCGAAGCTAGACCACCATGGAAAACCTGGAAGCACTGGACGGCCGTTTCGTCCTAGTATGGGACTTCTCAGCAGTGAGCATCTACGATCCTGCACCCCGCGAGATTCATGGATGCGCACTGCTGAGAAGTCCCATACTAGGACAAAACGGCCGTCCAGTGCTTCCAGGTTTTCTATGGTGGTCTAGCTTCAATTGACTTATTTATGAGTAAAAATCTATCAAATTATTTGATATTCTACGAACAAGTAGGAAAAAAGTTTTAAATATTTTGAGTGACTTAAAAGTCCAAAGCCTACTTGCCTTTGTTGCACATGTCATGTGTATATAATTACCACGAAAAACGCGATCTCCGAATTGAACACCTTTACTGTATCCATAACGTTCAACATCAGCAATGCCTAAACATCGACAATTGATGCGGTCTACCATCAACCATGTCCCTATCTGCCTCAACTCAAATGCAATTTCTCCCTCTTCCATAGTGCAATAACGATGCCGTGCTTCATAGATTCTGTTACAAAAATGAGCTTGAAATTCGTAATCACGCATATCTAAAAAATAAGTTTGCAAGAAAAAGATAAAGTCAGACATTAACGGTTTATTTAAATTATTTTCCCTAATAAGTAGTTAACTCATTATTAGGGTTACAAGAATTGTGTGTGAAGTGCAGTTGTGTTTCGAATTCTTCAACGAAGGATCTCTCCTATTTGTCTTATATAAATGTTATAGGTAAGTTACATACAAATGATATCATGACATTTGAAACAAAGTTGGTTAAATCTCAGCAAAATATGGGAAAAATTAACCAGTTCATATGAAATACCTCCAATTAACTGGTGCGCTTTCATCTATTTTGATTATTACTAGAGAATAATACCAAGTTTTAATACAATAACCTAAAGCGCCTTTTATAAAGAATTATATGACGGTATTCTTGGTTAATATCAACTTTGTATGGGTATATTTGATATGCGTAACTATGTAATATTGTATTTCCTGATATTCATCAATCAAAACGATTTATAATTGAAGGCCCTCAATTTAATTTTTCATCGAATTATTTCAAAAACTACGATCTAATGAATTTACTGTTACCTCGTCAACTGTTTTGTAAGTATAAAACTAATTGGAAGCAGCACTGTGAAATCATGATTAGAACAATAGAATAACATTTCACAACAGCTTCAGTGAAAATGTGACAAAAGCACAACCGGATGCTAAAAAAAGATACTACATTTATTGATAAAAACTAGCTCAACTATCTAGTTTATAAACACCTCAGAATTTAAATATCATACTACATATTAGTGTTACAACGATATTTACACAGGAAGATTGGTTGAATGGATTACTTTATAAAACCAGTTCACAGAGAGAAGAATTCAACGAAGAAAAATTCCTTTATGAAGAAACTATTTACTTAAGCTGTACATTCTTATGTTATGTATATGTCTATATATAAAACGTTGTATGAAACCATCATCTGTCCTACTAATCAATATGTCTAGAAAAGGAAGTTGGTTGTTCTTCTCTTCTTCGCATGTAAGAGAAATGTGCTTTTGACTTGTACTGAGTTCTTTTAATATAACTGTAGAAAAATAGAAAAGATTCCATTATAAAGTGATTTGAGATTTCAAATATCAAAAGTGGTTGCGTAATAATCAGGGAGTTAGAGAAGAATGGTAAAATGAATTATGAAAGATAATTGTTCACTTGACAGATATGAAGAAAATTGGAAAACATAAAGGTTTAGTAATAAATGAATAATAACCATGAAAACCTGTTCAAGGATAATGATAACGGATTACGGTTTAAAATTACAAAATACTAAATTTAAAAAGGAAAAAACAAGACCAAAACATACTACAGAAGGGAATTAGAGCTAATGAAGGCAAACAGAGTTCGAGCTTGAATTGGTGGATCGTCAACGCCTTAGTAGTGCATAAGTTTTTGATTCGACCTCCCTTACATCCAGTTCCTTTGGTTGTGCAGATTGTTTTGAAGGAGAACTCCTTTGGAGCGACGTGTCTAGAGTTGAAATAGGAACTATTCTGCATTCTTCAAATAACCTTCACAATTCGGACACGTAAATTATTTTCATCCTACCATTCTTCTCTAACCACTTTTGATATTTGAAACCCCGAATCCCTTTATGACAGAATCTTTTCTGTCTTTCCATATACATATATATTCACCAAACAACTCTACATACGAGACTAATTTTCATCGCTTTATGATGCAGTCTTTTCTATCCCTCTATAGAAATATATACAATACAACTATAAATATGAATGTACAGCTTAAGTAAAAGATTTCATGGAAAAGAAAGATTTCCTCGCTGAATTCTTTTTATTTTTAAAGTACTAACGGATGGCCCATCTATCATGGTGCTATCAAATCCACAAATTTTACTATCATTTTTCTAGTATCAAACAGATATCAAAGTACAACATCTAACTGTTTTATCCTACTTTTGAAACTATTCAACAGCATATATAATTAAAATCATCAAGGATCTCAAACTTGAAATTTCAATGTCTGTAAGAAACTATGATTGATATCTTCTTTGACTTTCTTGAATTCATAAAATAGTGTAATTGTTTAAAAATATAATAAGTTAGTGTTGTCACTCACTTGCTACCTTTTAACTATGTATGTTTTAGCTTTAATAATCAAAAATGAAGAATATTTGAGTGAACAATTGTTTTCAATAACTTCATCATCAAGCTCTACAGTTACGAGTCCATAATTATAATATTTTACTAAGGCCAAAAATAAGGCATGTATTAATGAATTTGACAATGTTATGTGTTAAAAGTGGTGAACGTTTGTATCTGTTACGACATATATACTCCGAAATTGTGTTATTCGCAAATTAGAAAGGTCATTTAATAAAGTTCAGAATGATTTGGAGTAAAGTGTCCAGTCACAATAAGTAGAATAGTATTATATCAAAAATGAAAATGCCAAAAGAAGTGTGTGAATAAAGTGCATAGTAGGAGAATTTCACCTTGTCAATTGAGATAATAATAAGATTGTTGTGTGAATATAATATGTAATGAGGGGGTTGTTATAAAGGTAATTAAGACAAATGAATTGGGAATGACGGATGTGAAGATTAAGATAGAGGTAATCAAAAAAAGAAGGGGGTAGGACGTTTATAATATCCAGTTCAGGTATCCAGTGATCCAGTCGTGGGCCAAGGTAAACATAGAGGCTGAATATACGTTTTTCTGGATACATAAGTTTGATTTTCTGGAGTTGATCCAGATGGCTGCGGCGATGTAACTTAAAAGACTTCATTTCCATATTAGTATACTTTTTGTAGTAGCATTTCCATAAACTTTAAATCCATGCTTTTCTATTGTGGTAAACAGTTAATTATCAATTGGTATTTTTTACTTAAATCTTCCCATTGATGTTTAGGACTGAAATTGACCAGCCGAGGCAATACGCACAGTGTGCACATATGCCAACATGAGACTGATCAATTTCAGTCCTAAACATCAATGGGAAGATTCAAGTAAAACAATTCCAGGTAAATTAGACTTCACCCCGTTGCACAAGCAAGTGGCTATCAAGACTCAGTAGCTAAGTGGATAACGCGATGGCGTTTGAAGCGAACAGCACTGGGTTCGTGTCCCCAAGTGAACATCAACCCTAAAATGCAGGCACATCCAGCTGACGAGTCCCAAATAGGACGAAACGCACGTCCTTGATTCCACTGCTAGCCACTATTCATCTTTGCTTATAGTTAATCATCATACTTTTTGTATAATGGTAAAATGATTAAAGAAAGGTTAGGTCTTATCTTTTTTTCTGAACAGTGTTGTACTTCTAATCAGTTATTGATCTGAATTGATAATGTCTGTACTAATAATTTAACATAATCTACTGATATTAATCTGTCTCCATTTAACTGAACATGTTAAAACAATCAGTTAGCTATTTCTATCTAACTGCCAATTTTATCAAATTGATCATTAAATCATATTTAACGTCATATATTCACAGTACTCAAATACATCAAAATATGTACAATCTTATGAAACTATAATATAAATACTAAACATTATTTAACTACTTAAATATAAAAATTTACTTACCATCAGTCCCTATAAGCTTAAATGTTAATGATTTAACATCATTTGTTGGAAGCCATGTAAGTGGACAACTTGAATAACTTGAACAAATATGACGACGTTGTGCAAATGGAGATAATGAATTATAATATTTAGGCATATTAAAAAAGCCACCACGTTCAAGCCATGCACAAGGAGTTAATGATCGTCTCTGCTTAACATATGAATAAAATTAAAGTATATTATTCAAAACTTAAAATAAAGTCAGATATCAAGTAATTTTTCAGTTTAATTAAAATTTCATATGAAAACTAGAAGCTTTATATACAAGTTATATTGGTAAAAACCTGACAATGTTTTAAGGATTGTCTAATAGTCACTTTGTACATGACTAATATATAAACATCAAACATTCGACTAAAATACCGTTTACCTCAGATTGTCTAGTGATTGATTGATGACTGAATCACCAAGGTCGATGAATAAGTTTGGTTCGTTTAGAACCAAATTTTTGTATCACTCGTGAAACTGGTTTAATACGTAAAGAGCAATGAAACCATTTAACTCAGTATAAGCGTATGGAAAAATGATTATTTAGTATATGGTAACATCCTAACATTCTTCCATTGAAGATAATAATTAGTTTTGAAATTATCGGCTAAACATGTACATTAGTCTATCAGTTTCCTTCATGAAAAGATTTTACAGCCTCAAACTCATTGTCAAGCAATCATATGCTTCCTAACTTATTTCACACAAGTAACAATGTGTGCCAGATTTCATAATTGTCTATCAATTAGAAAATGATTGATGTTAATTATCAGAATAATTTCTGACAAATGATACCAATCGGTAGGTGAATGGTATTCATAAATAACCATATGACTGATTTGTTTCCGTTTGGGTTCTTCGGATATAAGGAGCATTACTTGCCTGTTCCACAACAAAAATCAATTTTTCAGGTTTGATGATGTACGTTTAGCAAACTGAATAAGTTCCCAATATGGTATACTAAAATCTTTTCCCCAGAAGTGGTCAATCATCAGTCTCATTGATTATATTTAGGGTTGGATGAATTTCCAATAAGTGATGGCTTTATCGAAACTTCAGGAATTCGATGTCTTCAAAGAACACTATTAAAATATATTACACACATATTGAGCTTCATTAACTTCATGTAATAGACAATTTTAAAATGTTTTTAGAATTCGAACAAGCTAAAAAAATAATGAGATGGTCATGGCTCACTCAATATATCTGCCATGTTTTCTACTGAAACATGATCTTGGATTCATATTAAGAACAACATGAGTTTGGATACATTGATGATAGTAATCATGATACTAATAAATCATGTATACGTTTTTAGCTTTAAAGATATGAATACGTGAGGTATAGATTAGCGATATCTTCATACACCGATTTACACAGTAAGTTGATCATCAACTCATTCAGTGCACTAAGTTCCCTTGATAAACTTTTGTTAAGGAAAACAAAAAAACATTGTGTGATGAAATGAATTCAGTACATTTCGTCTATTCCAAATCTTCTTTGTACACGAACCGATTTGTATAAATAAATAAAGCGTTTGTTTATGGTTTAATAAAATGAAAATTCTAGTCTCCACAAAACCTTATAATAAAAATTTGAAATATTTTGAACACAAGCGAATAGAAAGAAGAAGGAAGAAAAGAATTGAGATCTATCATCATGGCAGTGTAAAGTGAATCGTAAGTTCTTTTGATATACACAAATGAAGGGTGACTTAATGAATAGTGGCTATTTCTGCTTAACCTAAAAGTTCGACCGTATTCTGTTCATCCATTGCTCGAAATGAAATAACAGTAACGAGTGAATCCTTCATACCCTTTATATTTTCCAGTTGTACGGCTAAATACTTTTAGGTCATTCATGTCCAACTTCTTTAGCATATGTCCCGATATTTTGCTAGGTAATCCTATCTTTGTTCTCACAATGTACGTCCTACTACAGTTCCAGGTAAATACGTATGGTAGTAATAAGTACACACATAATAATTACCATTATTATCACTATTACTTTATAAGTGACGACAATATCTACCTCAAAATTTATCAAAATCCTCTATTATGTTAACGCAGTATATTTAGAATTATCTCATCACCTATTGACTTGTAGGTGTTTGTAATGAAAGTATTAGGATGAGAGACTGAAAACTGTCTTTCTCTGCAAAAATATGATGTTAAAATTGAATAGATAATATCTCTCTTATACATTCAACATAATAATAAAGCTTAAGATCTTATCAAAATAATAACAGGTATATATTGAATAATTCAGAATTTTAATTCTACCCTTTTATAACCACTTTTATAGTAACCAAGAAATTCATCGTTTTTATTTAATCAACTATCAAAATAAATTTTACTTGTGGAAAAGCAGATGTATCTAAGACAGATGATTTACTGGTGTTACTCCGAAGCTTTCATCGAAGTTCTGAATAACATTAGCAGCCGCTGGTTTGTGGAAAAAAAGTGAAAAGGAACGCTCAAAATGCCAACGATTTTATTCACAATCATAACAATATGCTCCCAAATAAATCATACCATATAATAGGATAATGTAAAATATCACCACTGAACACTGAAGTTCAATATATGTGGGGAAAATCTTATTTATAAACAATTTTTTCATGATTGCTACTGATTTACTCAAAAATCGAATAAAACATTTCCCATAATACAAAGTTATACATTACGAATATACACATAAAATAGTTTCAAAACTAGATCTAAGTAATCCTTAAGTACATTTTAAAATGAAATCGCAACTACTTCTAAGTACAATAAGATATACACCAAATGTTTAGTTAAATCTCTTTAGGCTTAAGGAAAATTCATTATTCAGATTCAGATTTGTGTAGTAAGGACAGAAGGCCTACGACCTATGTTATTCCTTTTCTAGTATGCTTCTGTGAGTGTCCAGTCTTCTCTTGAAAGAGTCAATTGAAGGTGCGGACACCACTGCTTCAGGCAGCAGGTTCCAAGTATTGATGACTCGGTGTGAAAACCTGTATGCCACGGGTATTTTGTTCGTTCTTGGCTTTTCTACTCGCCTGCTATGTCCTCTAAGGTGTACCGATCTAGTGGGAAGAAAGAGAGAGAATAAGTTGGGTCCGAAATCATTTCTCAGTATTCTGTACATCAAAATTAGATCTCCCCTTAGTCTGCGATAGGACAGAGTAAAGAGGTCCGGTTTTTCAAGCCGCTCTTTGTATGATAAACCCCGGAGTTCCGGAGTTGCACGGATAGCTGCCCTCTGTACTTTTTCTAGTATGTCCGAGTCACCTTTTAAACAGGGGCTTGCAGCCTGAGCGCAGTTCTCTAGCTTAGTTCTCACTAAGGATGTGTATACTGTAGTGAACATGGTAGTATCTAACTTAGTGAATGTCCTTTTTAAAGCCCAGAGGGTTCGAAGCCCCTTGGCTGCGACCTCCCGGCAATGGGCCGTCGTCTTAAGATCATTACTCACTGTCACCCCTAGATCCTTATGAGACCGGACTACGGGTAATGACACATCCCCTATGTTGTGCGTATTAACCTTTGAATCCCCCAAGTGCATGTAGACACACTTTTCCGTGTTGATAGGCATCAGCCACTCTTTAGACCAGTTTATTATATCATTTAAGTCTGCCTGAAGAGTAAATGCATCTTTGTCTCCAGTTATTGCTCGCCAAATGTTTACATCGTCAGCGTATAATAACATTGGAGATTGTACTATACTTGTAAGATCATTAACGTACATTATAAAAAGTAAAGGACCTAGGACGGAACCTTGGGGTACTCCACTAAGTACTGGTCTCCAGATGGAGCACTTGGAATTTATTCTTACTTTTTGTCTATGACCTACTAGGAAATCCTTAATCCATTTTAAAAGAGGTCCGGCAATACCAAGGTTTTCCAACTTCAATAGCAGTCTATTAGTTGGCACCTTGTCAAAAGCCTTACTGAAATATATGTAGACAACATCCACTGAGTTTCCGTTGTCTAGCGCATTAATCCAGAACTCCCTAGCTATAAGGAGGTTCGTTGTACAGGATAGACCCTTTCTAAAACCATGTTGTGCCATGTTCAGCAAGTTATTGGTTTCCATAAATGCTGTTATGGTACGTTTGATTATCCTTTCCAGTATTTTAATTACCACATTGGTGAGGCTTACGGGTCTGTAATTCGATGGAACTTGTCGTGGACCTGTTTTATGTACGGGAGTGACGATTGCGTCCTTCCAGTCCATGAACGATATAATAGAAATCATGTATTCAACATTCTGACTGAAATAGAAACTTCAACTTTCTTTAGAAACTATTAAATTGACTTAACAACCTTTTATTAGTTGTGAAAATATAATTGATTACGAATGAATCCTGTCAATTAACTAGAATTCATAACATAGATTGATGTATAACTGACTAAACCTAAATCACACAATCATCTATGAGTTAAGGAATACGTATTTATGTTCATTTCTGTAATAAAGACTTTGCATATAATATTATCATTCAACCAGAAAAAAAATAAGATCATTAACTAATCAACTGTTTTATTCATTGTTCGATGAAGAGTTTACGACAGTAATTTCGCTTTTATTATGGATCATGATTAAGTTACCCTATTCACACCAATTAGGGTATTGTCCATATACAATTCAAATAGTTTACAGTTGTAGTAACAATAATTCAAAGCTAGAGTCTTCAGTTTAAATTTAACTAATATTTTATCGAAAAATTTCGTCATATTAATAAATTAGACCAGTATAGTTTCTTAATTAGATCATTGTTCATCATCAATATTTTTCTGAATTAATTAATCGGTACAATATAAGAACCTTCATCTGGTTTGAGTAATATTAAATTTCACTGATTGAAATCATAAGTCAATTGAAGCTAGACTACCATGGAAAACCTGAAAGCACTGGACGACCGTTTCATCCTAGTATGGGACTCCTCAGCAGTGCGCCAGGCGCTTAACCAACTAGACTACTGAGCCGGCACCCAACGGTGTTAATGTCTAACTGGGTTTGAATCTCGTGGGGAGCCGGATCGTGGATGCGCACTGCTGAGGAGTCCCATACTAGGATGAAACGGCCGTCCAGTGCTTCCAGGTTTTCCATGGTTGTCTAGCCTCGATTGACTCATGATTTCAATCAGTAAAATTTCTGAAATCTCCACAAAACCCC